TGTCAATCTCAGGTACTGTAAATGGACATGTGTCAATCTCAGGTACTATAAATGGACATGTGTCAATCTCAGGTACTGTAAATGGACATGTGTCAATCTCAGGTACTGTAAATGGACATGTGTCAATCTCAGGTACTATAAATGGACATGTGTCAATCTCAGGTACTGTAAATGGACATGTGTCAATCTCAGGTACTATAAATGGACATGTGTCAATCTCAGGTACTGTAAATGGACATGTGTCAATCTCAGGTACTATAAATGGACATGTGTCAATCTCAGGTACTGTAAATGGACATGTGTCAATCTCAGGTACTTTAAATGGACATGTGTCAATCTCAGGTACTGTCAATGGGGATTCTGTGGCTACCTGTGGTTCTGCAACTAATCCCTTACTTTTAAAAGTTCTTGATCGGTTTAGAAGTGCCCCTCTCCCCTAAACAGAGTTAAACTTCTGCCAAAGTTATTTACAGAAAAATCAATACTGTATTGGGCGTGGGAAGGGAGAGATGAGCACTGATGTAGCTTGGTAGGAAAATAAATAAGTGCCCAAGACTTTTGAAAGTATTTCAGTCTATTTGTTCTTTGTTTTCCTGTACTTTGTACATAATTGTTTGAGAAGAGGAGAAGGTTTTTAACTGGCAAGGGTCAGTTTACTGATCTAGGACCAAGTTGTTCAAAGTTAGGTTAACTTAAAGATAACCCAGTGTTAGCTTGAAATCTGATCTCAGATCTGAAAGCTTTAAAAGAAAATTTGGTGGTTGTTTTGAAAAGATAAGAGAAAATAATCCCTAAAGGCTTTGAACAGAAGAATACTAAGAAACTCAGAGTGTGCATGATGATGTATCTTTGAGCATTATACAGCAGTGAATCAAGAGATTTTCTCTTTTTTCAATGCTAGACAAACTAAATAAACTCAAAAGTAACATCTTGTTAATGCCAAAAACCAAGTTTAAAATTTATGCACACCAAATTGCAATGCTATTAGAACATCTCATCAATTCATTGTCTTTTTTTATAATAATTATGGTAATTTTCACTGTTTTGCAGTGGTGACAAAGCCAGGTGACAATTTGTCCACAATGCTTCAATATGATGAGGTAAAAGAGATGTGGCAATATTTTAGCTAATCAGAACTACCTGGCCAAGGAAAGTGTGGTGCCTCACCAGTAAGTTCTTTACAATTTATTTAAGGGTACAATTTAATGGTCAAAGTGATTCTCATCACTTTGGTTAAAGTAAAGGTGCAGTGTAATAATTGAGCTTCTGAGCCAAATGAGCTGTCTAGCCAGACTGTGACTTGAAGTATGGTGGCTTTTCTCGGTCATCAGGATGCTGGTCCATCCCAGGTTACCCATACCTTTCCTCCACTTACCCTCCCTCCCTGTGTGTCCTGTCCAAACTGATGGTAGGTAATTTGCCCTAATCTTAATATTATTGTATTCACTAATAAAATTTTTTTTGTTTCATGATGGATTTAATAACATATTTTATTACACAACTCAGGCAGTCAATGGGCCAGTAACTAAAATCAACCAATCAAAATGCTCTATTGCTGGTCAATATTCTTTCAGGTATGACCAGGCACTGTCCCGAATGGTCCCGAATGATACCGCACTTGTGTCCCTTTGAACTTCAGGGATATAATAAATCTCTTATTAACCAAGCTTGCTCGGGACCGTACTGGAAGAATATCGGCCCTTGGACCGATATTCTCCCAGTACAGCCCTCCCACTTGGTTAATAAGATATGTATTGGAAGAGGTGTATGAAAATTGTTCTCCTAAGTGCCATTGTGATTGACTGTTACAGTCACCTTTCAATTTTAAGTACAACATATGTTTTTGTACGGATTCATTGTTCCTCGCTCCTCCCCCCTTTAATTTGTGCAGTTGCACTGATGTTGTTGAAATATCTTGCACAGTTTCTATGTATAACTTTTTTAAGTTGTTTGAATTATCAGAGTGATAAAAGATCAGCAGGAACAGATTTATCATGATTGTCTCTTTACAGATGGGTAAAACTTGGAATGGAGCTGTTTGTTGTGAGAGAGAAATACCACCCAACAAATCAGAGGTAAATTTTAATTTCTCTAAAACAAAAACAGAGTAGATACTAGAGAATGTCAGTAAAAGTGTTATTCTTAATATATTTTAGGAAAAGCTTGTTTATGAATATGATGAAAGGCTAATGCCCCAAATTTCAAATTCCAATTAGAATTTGAAAACAGTAGAGGAAGAGCTTCGTCACTGATGTGCCACCATTACATCCCCTGATTATTACCACCATTATTATTATTATTACTACAGGGGCCTAGCCAGGATTTTTCAAAGGGGGGGTCACAGAGGCTACTCACCATTTACACCGCTGCTCTCCCACGTGTATATCAGCGGGCTCAGTCATATTATTGCGGCATGAAGGCCCATATTAACTACCGGTAAATACAAGAGCCGTTGATGAAAATACTTTACAAAAAAAATTTGTTTTTCAACAGTGGCTTTTACGGCCAAGATATTGTCATGGCATTTTTGCCACCTGAATATTGTAGGTTGTTTGCTCTAAAGAAGGCCTACCAAGGGGGGGCTCACAGGCACCCCAGGACCCCCCTGGCTACGCCCTTGTACTATTATTTATGAGCAGAAGATCAAACTGGGTTGAACTCAAATCCATTAATGATTCAATTATTTGCAACCCATTTGAATTTCAGACCTTCACATTTCTCTTGGCTTGGCATTTTCCACACAGGTATGCAGTATTAGTATTGGTAATAATGCAATTGTGAGTGCAATTTGGTGTTTATTTAAAGGCACAAGTAAATTTTGTAAAGAAAACAAATTGCATGAGCCTGTGTGGCAAGTGCATTTTTTTACAACTGACAAGTGCTTATTTACACCAAATTGTACAAGAAATGGTGTTATTACCTATTAATAATATACCTAAAAAAGCGTGCAGAAGGTCAAGACAGACAAAATTTTGACAGTGCATGGGCCATTTGTAATTTGGACTTGTGTTACATTTTTGCACTTGTGGTAAATAAAAAATGCTCTTGTTTTCAACCAATCAGAAGCCTGTTATGTTTTCATTTATATTGACTAATCAACTTATTGATTGATTGACTAACTGGTGGGTACACTGTGCATGTTGGATGTCTGTGCAAGTGTATACAAAGGACTCTTAAGTCCAAAGTTTTCCAACGTGGCCAGTTGTGGCCTACAATCATTGAGTGATAGCAGAAAAAAATTCAAGTGGACTGAAAAAGAGAACAAATATTTAAAATGTTATAGGTTGCTATAATTTATGTGATTACCAAACACAACCACCTCCCGGTTAGCTCACTGGATAGAGCGCTGGACTGTTGTGCGGGAGTTCGAGGTTTCGAGCGCCAACGGGACCAACACTCAAGGTCTTAAAATAATTGAGAAGAATATGCTACCTTTCTATAACATCAAGAAATCC